GTATGTCACAGGATATTTATAGAAGCACTAAAATATCCAGCATCCAAAAACAGATAAAACACAATATCTGGCATCCAATCCACAATTATCAGGCATGCAAAGAAACAGAAAAATATGATGAATAAGAAGAAAGTAAATCCCTTAATCAAAATCAATGCATAGCTGACGCATATTAGAATTAGCAGACCAGAACTTTAAAACAGTCATTATATTATATTCCAGATGTTTGAGAAAGACCTAAATCAATCACATACAGATAAAGAATACAATGTGTGGGATGAAGAAAAAGTACTTGATGAGATTATCAGCAGATTAACTGTTAAAGAATGACAGATTAATGAACTTGGAAACATAGCAATAAAAACAATTTAAAAACGAGAGAGAGAAAGTATACAAAGTAAATTAACAACAACATATCAGTGACCTGTGGAATAACTTCAGGTAGCCTAAGAATAGTGTAAGCGGATTCACCAATGCAAAGGATATACAGAAAAGGACAGAAAAAAAAATTGAAGGTATAATGACTGAGAATTTTCCAAACTTGATGAAAAATACATATATCCACAGATTTAACAAGCTCAATGATCTCCCAAACACAAAAGAACTGAAGACTACATCCAGATACATCATAATTATACTGCTGAGAAATGATGATAAACAGAAAATTTTAGCAAAAGCTAGTGGTGAAAAAAAAAAGACAGTATGTACAGAGAAGCAAAGATGAGGATGACACTGTATTTATTACCAGAAACAATGCAAACAAGAAGACAGTGGCATAAAATCTTTAAAGTCATAAAATAAATGTGAATTTAGAATTCTCAATCCAAAAAATTTATTACAAAATTGAAGATGAAATAAAGATATTTTGAGACCTTCCCACAAAAAAATCCCATAATGCAATAAATATATAAAAAACAGCAAGAGATGATAGACTTAAACCTGACTAAATTAAATGTAAATGGTCTAAATAACCATTAAAAGGCAGAGATATCAGATTGGATTAAAAAAAAAAGACTCAACTATATGCCACCTACAAGAAATACATTTTATAAATACACAAGTAAGTGGAATGTAAAGAACAGAAGAAAGGTATGCAAAAATTAATCAAAAGAAAGCTAGAGTGCTATCTTAATATACAAAGCAGATCTCAGAGAAAAAAAATATTAACCAAGAATGAAACTGGTAATTTCATAATAATAAAAGTGAAAACTCACCAAGACTTAACAATACTGTTTATATATCTAAAAAGAGTTTTGAAATATATGAAGCAGAAGCTGATACAACTAGAAAAAATAGACAAACCTTATAACTTAGTCTACAATCTATAATTATTATTGTATAAAGACAATGCTATCTCAGTGGACTGTTAGAATAAGTAAATAGAAAATCAGTAAGACTTTAGAAGATTTGAACAACACTAACAAAGAAATTGGCCTGACCAACATTTGTGGAATTCTTTGACCAGCAATATCAGAATAAACATTCTTGTCAAGAACACATAGAATGCTTAGGTAGACTGTATTCTGAGTCATAAAACAAGTCTCAATTAGTTTAAAAGGATTCAGTCATACAAAGTATGTTATCTGAGTATAATGAGATTAAATTCGAAAGCAGTAACAGAAAAATCTCTGGCAAGTTCCCAAGTATTTGGAGACCAGAAAACATACTTCTAAATAAACCATGAGTTAAAGGAGAAATCAAAAGGGAAATTAGAAAGTATTCAGAAGTAAAAAGTTTTAAACAGTATGTAAAAACTTGTGGGATGTCACAACAATAATACCTAGAGGACGTTTTTTGTAGATCATCATGAATACAAGAACACAAGAAAGGTCTCAAATCAATGACCTTAAATTCCACCTTAATTGGGAAAAGATAAACTTAGTGATCATGAGTAAGGCAATAATTTCTGAAATACAACACTAAAGGCATGGACCATAAAAGAAATATTTGAAAAACTAAGCTTCGTCAAAATTAAGGACTTTTGTTCTTCCATAGGATAATAACTGAAAAGGAGACTGAAAAGACAAATCAACACTGAGAGAAACACTTTAAAATTATAAATTTGATAAAGCACTTTTATTGAGACTATATGAAGACCCCTCAAAACACAGTCATAGCTTTAAAAAACCAAGCAACCCAGTTTTACATGTGGGCAAAAGAGCTGAACAGACACCTCATGAGTAGACACTGATAAGTATGTACATTAAATATGTTCAATATCATTAGTCCATTAGGGAAAATGTAAGATAAAAACACTACACTCTCTCTAGAATCACTACAATTAAGATTAACCGTTACCGGGTCTTGGCAAGGATTTGGAAGGACTGGGACTCTCATATATTCCTGGGGGAATGTAAAATGGTTTAAGTGCTTCGGAAAACAGTTCGGCAGTTTCTTAAACTGTTAAACATTTGCCTGCTGTGTGATCCAGTCATGTCATCTAAGTATTTACCGAAGAGAAATCAAAGCATCTGTCCATAGAAAGGCTTGTGCATGCATGTTTATAACAGCTTTACTGGTAATAGCCAAAAAAACTGGAAACAATCTAACTGTCCATCAACAGATAAATGTATAAACCTCCTCTGGTGTGTCCGTATTACAGACTACTGCTCAACAGTAAAATGGAGTGAGCTCTTGATACACGCTACAACTTGGATGAATCTCAGACTAACGATGCTGTGTGAAAGAAACCAGACCAACAAGGTACACCAACTACGTGATTTCATTTATACAAAACTCTAGGTAATGCAACCTAATGCATGGTGACAGAAGTAAGATCAGTGGTTGTCTGGGGACAGAGGTGGGGTGGAAAGGAAGGGGAGTAAGAGAGAGGTTTTAAAAGGCCACAGGAAAATTTTTGAGGATGGAGGTGTATACTTTCTCATGCCAATCATTTCATAGTTATGTATGTCTGTCAGCACGTATCAAAGTGCACATTTTAAATATGGGCAGTTATTTGTATGCCAGTTATACCTCAATAGAGCCATTTCTTTAAAGAGAAAAAAAGAGTATTCATTTCCTCATTTGTACTAACTTCATACATAAGCTCAATAATCTTATAGCTATTGTACGGTCTGTGCAGATACAAAACAGTCCCAACAAAGCAGAAAGCTCTATCAGACAGCACTGCTCTCACTCCTGTTAATTGTAATTAGGAAGTGAATGATGACTTTTAGAAAGCACACAGGGATTACTCTTCTCGCAAATGCCTCCAGTACTTTTATCCATAATTTGCAATACTCTGTAATTTATGCAAAGCCCCTCGAATATCATGGTGCCACATCTCGTCAAAAAACTTTCTGCAATTGGATCAACACAACCTTCTTTTTCTTTTTCTTTTCTTCCTCTTTTAAAAATCACAGCTTGCAACCATTTTCTAAGTGCTCACTGCCTTCTCTACCTGGCTAGGGTCATACAAAGAACCAAATATTCCAGCTGGGTAAAATGACCTCTGTATTTGACCTTTTCTGTGGTACAGGGATAAAAAGAAACTTGTATGCATTTGGGGTACAATTTATGCTTGTGAAATACAGTATTAAGCTGCAATTTCTAAAACTTCTAACTCCACCCTTGGCCTATTTTATGGAAGTTGACTTTAAAATCGCCAGAAATTCAGAAACAGTTGAACTAAATTACGTGTTCAAGAGAGTGCTATGTTTAATTTATCCTAACCTTTCTCTTGATTTTTAAATGGTCCTTTTCCAAAAGCTAAATGACAGTTTTTAATATGAATCTGTACCTCTTCCTCATTCTATTAGCAGCGGTCAGATTAATGACCTTAGTGACTGAGACCGAATAATCAATATTTTATGTGTATAGGTATACTTCATTTTCTTGTGCTTCACTTTATTGCATTTTGCAGATAAATTGTATTTTTTACAAATTGAAGGTTTTGTGGTACCTCCCTTTGTTGACCAAGTCTATCAGCGCCATTTTTCAAAAAGTATTATTTTTCTAATTAAGGCATACACACTTGTTTTTATGGACATAATGCTATTATGCACTTAACTGACTATAGCATAGGATAAACATAACTTTTATATGCACTGGGAAACCACCCCCCCCAAATCATGTGACTTGCTTTATTGCAATGGTCTGGAATGCAACCCATAATATCTCTGAGGTGTGACTCATCACTAATTTCCCAGAGCCAATCTGAGAGAACTGCAGACTGAGTGACTGAGGGAACGGAAGGGTGTTTTGTCTTCAGAAGGTTTCAGTTATAAGAAAATGCTCAAGACAGAGGCGTATCTTGTCACCACGACTCTCAACCTGGAATCCGTGAAGACAGAAATGGAA